ACAAAAGACCTCCAATCTGCCGAGGAGTGAGGAACTTCTTACCGCAAGGCATGGTGAAAATGGACTACCAAGATGGCGTTCCCACAATGCACCGCTGAGTCCCAGATTTTTTTCACGGGGTGCACATCCACCACTCAGACTCATTCTCTCTCATGTAGGCCTACCAGCCCTCTCCCACTTAATTTGAAGCCGCTAGAATTTATGCGTATAGATACGTCAAACACAGTATCTCGTATGACGTATATATATGACTTGAGTCCTGGAGATGGGAAGTACAGTGCCTGCACTCTGAAGGAGGGGTGTTAATGTTGCAGTTTAAAAACTGTAGCGTAAAGCACCCTTCTGGCAAGACAGTGATGGAGTGAATGACGGTGAAAGTTTTTCTTTTTCGGGCCACCCTGCCTTGGTGGGAATCGGCCAGTGTGATAATAAAAAAAATAATATATGACTGAAACAGTCAAAGGGTTAAGAGGAAAGTAAAAATAGGTTAGATAAGTGCATGAGTGGGTGTGGGTGGGTGCGAGTTGGACCTGACTAGCTTGTGCTACTGGGTCAGATGTCGTGCTCCTTCTTTCAGTGGATGTGACCTGGCTAGGTGGGTCATTGGTCTAAGCCAGGGAGTGACATGGACCTGCTTTGCATGGGCCAGTAGGCCTGCTGCAGTGTTCCTTCTTTCTTATGTTCTTATGTATTCGGCTGGCTAAGCTGGCAGGCTGTCTCCATCTATATCTCTGTCTATCTGTTTATATCACTGTATTTGTATCTCTGTCTATATGTCTCTCTCTCACATGTACTCAAATACAATTATACATAATGTAAATTACCTAGGATAACCCAAAAATTCCAGGCCAAGTGCTATACAGTGTTTGCAGTGTCAATTGCTCAGCAATCAGGAAGCGGCCCATAAACCACAAACCAACAGGTTTACTAGCCGCTCCCTGAGAGAGACAAGCAGATGGAAAGACAGACATACACAGGCAGACAGAAAGACAGATAAGCAGAACTAGATAGATAAGCAGAGCTAGGCAGACAGATAGACAGATAAAAGGCAGACAGATAGATTGACAGAGAGACATAAAAAGACATGTTTGTGTGCAAGAGTAAAAACATATAAAGGCAAAATTCCCCCCTCTAGCAGTGCACATTCATCATTATACTATTCTTCAAGGAGGTTCATACTCCAGCATGTCTAAAACATTACTGGGACCTATAAATACTTTGTATGTATTTCTAGACAACAGTAAATGACCAGGGCAGGTGAAAAAGTCAGTGTGATTGTTACAATTTGAGTACTATTTCAGTACATAATATTGGTGTCAGAACAAAGATTGGCTATGAAATCACAAGAACTATGTATTATAAATTGTAATTATCAGAACATAGAAATTATATAAATTAAAATAAAAGCGAGAAAAAAAGGTAAATCGGCAACACTTCTGCAAGTGACAGAACTGGATGTTGCCGTCAGGTGAGCATCCAGAGACAACTTCATGGTCTTATATTTCGGTAGATACTGACCCTAAAATTTTTTTTGGTCTCATGTCACACAGAAAATTGCCCTCTTTAATTTAACCCTTAAATGGTCCAAACGTATATATACGTTTTTTCAACATTTGAAAGTACGTAAAAAAATGTAGATCTTTCTTGTTTTACATTTAAAAATGTGCAAAAAACTTTCATCTACATTTTTTTTGTTTTTTTTGAAAATATGTAAAAAAAACGTAGATCTACTTTTGGAGCACTATGGATTTGAACGTCGATTTGTTTGGACCGTTTAAGGGTTAAAAACAAAAAACAATTTTTTTATTTTTCAAAATATTCGGAGCGCCATGCAGGTGAACATAGATCTACGTTTGGACAGTTTAACCCATAAACGGTCCAAACGTATATATACGTTTTTACCGCTAGTGCCCCAAACATATATACGTTCTGACTCAAGAAATCGTAATGACACGACTGCAAACAAACCATACCCCCGGCCGGGATTGAATCCGCGGTCATAGAGTCTCAAAACTCCAGCCCGTCGCGTTAGCCACTAGACCAGCTAGCCACAATAAGATTCATCCAACTAGGTATATTTCTACACCATAGGAAGGTTAGCACAGGCACCACTGTGACCACAAATGCAAGTTTTTACAGACGAATCTCCAGCTAGCGTGGCCGTGACGAACTCTAGCTCAAGTCCCTTCACTGCCGTCAACATGACTCGAGAAATCGTAATGACACAATTGCAAACAAACCATACCCCCTGCCGGGATTGAACCCGCGGTCGTAGAGTCTCAAAACTCCAGCCCGTCGCGTTAGCCACTAGACCAGCTAGCCACAATAAGATTCATCCAACTAGGTATATTTCTACACCATAGGAAGGTTAGCACAGGCACCACTATGACCACAAATGCAAGTTTTTACAGACGAATCTAGTGGCTAACGCAACGGGCTGGAGTTTTGAGACTCTATGACCGCGGGTTCAATCCCTGCCGGGGGTATGGTTTATATATACGTTCTATTTTTCCTGCCTTCAAATTTGGCACGATTGGCCTGAGATGCCTTGTCAGCATAGAATGGGTCCTAACACTCAGTGTACACCATATTAAAAAAACTGGGACCACTTAGTACCTTGTGGGAGCACCAGTTCAAATGAGCGCCTGCTAGAGCAAACAGCGCAGCAAACACCTGGAATTCACTGATTTCATGTAGTATTAACTCTCCCATTTTAAGAGGAAAGAGATGTTGACATCAAGTTTAGTGGCTTTGAGGTGGATGTGGCCATAACTGGTCGAGGAAATATAAAAAAATCTCGATAATAACTCAGAATGTCTTCAGGATGTCTTAAAACCTATGCCCTAAGTAAAGAGAAACAATTCTGGCTGATTGGCTGGCCGGCTGCTGGCGGCCTGGCTCTATCTCCGTTTGTCTGTCTGTATCAGTCTATTTCTGTCTCTCTATCTTTTTCTCTATCTATCTGTCTCTATCCCTGTCTATCTGTCTCTGTCTATCTCTTTCTAACTGTTTGTCTATCTCTGTCTCACAGGTACACATAAATACGAATATACATAGTGCAAATTACCTAGGATAACCCAAAAAATCCAGACAAAGTGCTATACTCTGCTTGAAGGTATGAGTAAAGTTGATGATGCAGTCTTGTGGCTCTCTCTGAGACAGAGAGCTAGATGGATAGACAAAAAGACAGGGAGCTTGACAGACAGACAAATAGACAGAGACATGTTTGTGTACCAGCAAAAACAAAGCAAGGGCCGATGCTCATCAAATGTCACCTCTAATCTTTTGTTATCAAGTGTTATCACTGCACCCTCGTGTATGCTCATCAAACGTTAGCTCTTATCAGATGTTATCCCATCTTATCACATCACTGTCAGGGGAAGACTTTCTTTTTCATGCTTCAAGGGAACTTATTATTAATATTTCTTCTTCTTCTCCTTCTTTGCTGCTACTGCTGCTGCTGCTGCTGCCGCTGCCTCCTCCTCCTCCTCCTCCTCTTCCTCCACCTTCTCCTCCTCCTCCTTCTCCGCCTCCCCCTTCTCCCTCCCCCCTCTCCCTCTCTCCTCCTCCCCCTCCTCCTTCTTCTCCTCCTCCTCCTCCTCTTCTCCTTCTCCTCTTCCTTCTCCTCCTCCTCCTCCTTCTCCTCCTCCTCCTTCTCCTCCTCCTCCTCCTCCTTCTCCTCCTCCTCCTTCTCCTCCTCCTTCTCCTCCTCCTTCTCCTCCTCCTCCTCCTCCTCCTTCATCCTCCTCCTCCTCCTTCTCCTCCTCCTTCTCCTCCTCCTCCTCCTCCTTCTCCTCCTCCTTCTCCTCCTCCATCTCCTCCTCCATCTCCTCCTCCTTCTTCTCCATCTCCTCCTCCATCTCCTCCTTCTCCTCCTCCTCCTCTCTCCTCCTCCTCTTCTTCTCCTCCTCCTTCTCCTCCTCCTTCTCCTCCTTCTCCTCCTCCTCCATCTCCTCCTCCTCCTTCTCCTCCTCCTTCTCCTCCTCCTCCTCTTCTTCTCCTCCTCCTCCTCCTCCTTCTCCTTCTCCTCCTCCTTCTCCTCCTCCTTCTCCTCCTCCTTCTCCTCCTCCTCCTCCTCCTCCTCCTTCTCCTCCTCCTCCTCCTCCTCCTCCTTCTCCTCCTCCTCCTCCTCCTCCTCCTCCTCCTCCTCCTTCTCTTCCTCCTCCTCCTCCTCTTCCTCCTCCTCCTCCTTTTCCTCCTCCTCCTTTTCCTCCTCCTCATTATTATTATATACTTCCACATATCTAAAACAATGCTGGGATCTATAAATACTTTGTATATATTCCAAGATAATAGTAAATGGCCAAGGCAGGTGTAAATGTCCACCTGTCAATGTGTTTGTGACAATGTGAGTACAATTTCAGTACCTAATACTAATGTCAGAACAAAGACTGGTTATGGAATGACAAGAACTACTATAAATTGTAATTATCAGAACATAAAAATTATATAAAATAATATGAAAATAGAAAAAAAGGTATATCAGCAACACTTCTGCAAGCGGCAGGACTTGATGTTGCCGTCACCTGAGCATCCAGTGCAAACTTCTCAGCCTCATATCTCTGTAAGCACTGACCTTAATTTTTTTTTTATCCTATAACACTTAGAAAAATGTGCTCTTTATTTTCATTAAAAAAACTATTTTATTTTTCAAAATATTCGGGGCACTGAGGTAGTGAACGTATATATACGTTTGGACCGTTTACGGGTTAAGGGTTAAACATACTAAAGAATTTTACATGTACTTTTGGTATGTAAGTTAATACATTGCCATGTGCTTGCATTAAAAAATATTAATTTCAAAGCTAAAAATTTCTTTACATGCCAATTAGTGCAAAATTATTAGTAAAAAAAAAAAAAAAAACACATTCACTATAAAATGACACACCTATTGCAACAAAGAAGGAAACATGGTACCAAGTGTCCTGCAGCATGAATGTAGTTAAAGAAATATGAAAAAAAACTTTATTACTGTTAAAATATAACCAAAATTTACTTACCTTTCTAACATAATGTAAAGTTCTGGGATCAAGCAGAGTTGTATGCGATTTAGAGCCTATTGCGTATAAAGAGCTATCTTCTTTTCTTGTAAGGCAAACATTTTCCATGGCATGTGGAAGTTTCCTAGACATTTTCTGAACAAAACGATTAGCATCCCACACATGAAGGTATGCATTTAGAGACAATGCAACAATCTCAACAAAGTTGGGATTAAAAATGACAGCTCGCACTTTCTCAGCACCATTGCATTTCTTAACTTTAACTGGTTTAATATGACCATAGCTAGGTAGTTTACAAGAATCTTCCATTTCTATTTCATCGTCTATTTTCCATAAAGACAAGCGGGTATCTCTTGAACCTGACACAAGAAACTGATCATCTAACCAACACATGTCAAAAATCCAATCATTGTGAGCTTTTTCACCTACACAGACTGGGTCCAATGTCGGCAGTCGGTACACTGCAATATCATTAGAATTTAAAGCACCAGTGGCTAAGAGTGTCCTAGAGGGGTTGATTTCAATAGAATGAATTCCACACTGTTGCTCTGGTGGACGATGCAATTCTGAACTACGCAATGAAGGAATGATATCCATTTGTCTTGTATTGACATCATACACCATCAGTTTATTGCACTTAGTTCCCATTGCTATTTGATGATCACTCAACCACTGAGAACAGAATACCTGTGAAAATAAAGTGACAATCAATACTCCAAAAAAGTTAAAATTTATATAAAGCATTTGGCTTATTTCTGATTTAACCAAACATCTGAAAATTTAAAAAAAAAAAAAAAAAAAAAAAAAAACTTTCACAACTAATTTACAAGTTAGTACTTCCAGTCCACTAGATATGAGACAAGCACAATATCCATGACAGAATAATACTTGCTCATGTCCCTACAGTAGGGCCTATCACAATCCAGTCCAGTAGATTCGATGACTTCTGGGTTCCAATTTGTTCATCCTTTTGATGTCAGTCCCACTGTATTACAGCTTTGAAGCCAGTGATGGTCCCATAGTACTACACCATGAGCTCAACTCACTCAGATAAGCTGTAAGCAATAAACTTGGGCCTAGATAAGAGAGAAAGGGTCTATGTGGTAAGTACCTTTGATATAACTTTGAAGAGTTTCGAGAGTTTATCTACTCTCTGAGCCCGACCATGGGCCAGGCTCGTCTGGTGCTTGCCTGGTCAACCAGGCTGTTGCTGCTGGAGGCCCGCTGCCCCACATATCCATCACAGCCTGGTTGATCTGGCACCTGGTGAAGATGCTCGTTCAGTTTCCTCTTGAAGGCTTCTACAGTGGTTCCAGCCGTGTTTCTGATATCTTCTGGTAAGATGTTGAATAGTCTGGGACCTCGGATGTTGATACAGTGTTCCCTTATTGTCACCACTGCACCCCTGCTCCTCACTGGGTTTATTTTACACTTCCTCCCATATCTCTCACTCCAGTATGTTGTTATGGCAGTGTTCAGATTTGGGACCAAGCCCTTGAGTACCTTCCAGGTATATATTATCATGTACCTCTCTCTCCTCCGCTCCAATGAATACATGTTCAAGACTTGCAGGCGTTTCCAGTAGTTTGGGCGCTTTACAGGCTCAATGTGAGCTGTAAACGATCTCTGTATTTGTTCCAGCTCAGATATTTCTCCTGCCTTGAACGGGGCCATCAGGACTGAGCAATATTCTAAGTGAGGAAGCACTAGCGATTTGAAGTGTCACCATCAGCATTATTTCCCTTGTTTAGAAAGTACTCAATACCCACCCCATCATCTTCCTGGCTGTCGTAATCTTTGTCTTGTTATGGTCTTTAAAAGAAAGGTCCGCTGACATAATTATTCCTAGGTCTTTTACATGTTCCTTACGTTCTATTTGGTGGCCCTCTTGAGTTTTGTATATAGTGCTCCTTTTCAGTTCTTCATTCTTTCCATATCTAAGCAGCTGGAACTTATCACCACTGAACGCCATGTTGTTCTCCACTGCCCACTGGAAAACCCTGTTTATGCTTTCCTGTACTTTTTCAGTGTCCTCTACCATAATGACTTTCATGCTTATTTTAGTGTCATCTGCAAATGATGATACAAAAGTGTGCCGGGTGTTTTTGTCTATATCTGCTATGAGGATGAGAAACAGCAGAGGTGCCAGGACAGTGCCTTGGGCACTGAGCTTTTGACCTCGCTGATGCTGGATCTTGCCCTGTTCACTACTACTTTTTGTGTTGTGTGTGTTACGAAACCGAAAATCCATCTGCCTACCTTCCCTGTAATGCACATGGCCTTCATTTTGTACACTATCATCACTCCATGATCGCATTTGTCAAACGTCTTTGCAAAATCTGTGTAAATCATATCTGCATTTTGGTCATCTTCCAATGGCTCCGTAATTATGTCATAATGGTTCAGCAGCTGTGACACACATGATCGTCCTGCTCTAAAACCATGCTGGTTTGGGTTATGTTGGTTGTGCTGGTCCATGAAATTTGTAATCTGCCGTCTCATCGCTCTTTTGAAGATTTTTATGATGTGAGAGGTTTGGGCTACTGGTCTGTAATTTTTAGCTAGTGCTCTACTACCTCCCTTATACAAAGGAACTATGTCTGCACTCTTTAAGGCCTCCAGTATTTCACCTAGATCTAAGCTCTTTCTCCAAAGAATACTGAGGGTTCGTGCTAGTGGTACTTTGCACTCCTTTATACATAGAGCATTCCATGAATCTGGTCCCGGTGCTGAGTGAGTGAGCATGTTTTCCATTTCTTTTTCGAAAACTATGGGATTTGTACTAATGTCAGTTAGTTGGTGTGCACGGCCTTCTTCTGGAGTGAAAAATATTTCTGCATTTTCTACCGTGCTGTCATTTGGTGGGTTGCTGAACACCGACTCATACCGCTCTTATAGGATTTCACTCATTTCCTGTTCATCGTCAGTATACGAGTCTCCTCTCAGTAGTGGTCCAATTCTACAGGTAGTTCTTAGCTTGGATTTTGTGTAGGAATAGAAATATTTTGGGTTTCTTTCAATATCCTGTATGGCCCTTTGTTCCCTTTGTACTTCTTCTGTGAGGTATGACATCCTAAGTTTTTGCTCTAATTCAATGATCTCTCTGCCAAGTCTATCTTTCCTATGTTGTAGCATATTTGTGTTTTTAAGCAGTTCAGTAACCTGTTTTCATCTTCTGTACCATCTCCTATGCTCTCTATATCTGATCTTCTTCTGGGTTTCCTCAATGGTACGTGTTTCATACATACTTCGCATACTTCTGTATTCAGCATCTCTAGGCACTGGTGGGGATTTAGGTCGCTCATGTCTGATTCCCAGGATATGTCTGATAGCTCTTGGTTTACTTTTTCCCAGTCGATTCTATGGTTGTTAAAATTAAACTTACTTAACATCCCGTCTCTAACTTTAGTGATGCAATTTCCTACCCCTGAGTTAATACTAGTTTGAACCCCTATGATGTTATGATCAGAGTATTATATAGTATTTGTAATTGTTATGTCTCTGATCAGCTCTTCGTTGTTTGTGAATATCAAATCCAGGGTATTTTTATTTCTAGTGGGATCAATTACCCGTTGGTTCAAAGAGTAATTTTCGCAAAGCCTCATTAGTTCCCTGGTATGTACCTGTTGAGCCAGGGTGCTTCCTGGAGATATTTCTGGTATAACATTACGTTGCACCATCTTCCATTTTACACGAGGGAGATTAAAATCTCCAAGGGGTAAAATATTTGGTGTGGGATTTTCTAGCCTATCCAGATAGCTATTTATCTTACTTAACTGAACTGTGAATTCCTCAGCAGTTGCTGATGGTGGTTTGTATACTAGGATAATTACCAAATTCCTATTTTCAACTTTAATGCCTAGAATTTCTACTATATCATTCATAGAGTTCAGCACTTCTGTGCAACAGCAAGTATCCTTTACATAGATTCCTACTCCTCCCTGTGACCTATTGATTCTATCACATCTATACATGTTGTAGTTTTCTATCTTTATCTCTCCGTCCAAAACATCCCTTGTATGTGTTTCTGTTAATGCTCCAAACATGGCATTCGCATCTGTTAGGAGCCCACTGACATAACTAACTTTGTCATTTTTATTTGATTTCAAGCCCTGAATACATGTATTTGCAAATATGAAGCAGGGATTACCATGTGGGATGTTTTGTCTTGCTTTGCATTTCATTAGTACCACTGGTGGTGTACTGCCTGTTATGTCCCCTGGTGTACACGCCCCTGGTTTCTCCAGTACTGGCTTCGCATTTGGTTGCTTATTCGGCCTTGATGGGCTGATGCTTGGTTTGGTATGTCCCATTTTACTGCCCACCTGTCCTCTCTGTGCCATTCTCCCTGTTTGTCACTTCAGTATGCTGAGGTCAGTGGTCACGTGTGGTCATACCTGCCTAAGCTCTTGGGAGTTAGCGTGGGCTGTTACCAAGCACCATGGCTTGTTGTAGTGTTTTAGAATCTTAGGTTCAAGTGTTGAAGAAGGAGATTCTACTTCTTCAGGAGGAAAATAGGAGAATGAAGCTTTGCATAGATGGGTTTGGGAGTGAGTATGAGATGGATTTAGCTGGTAAGGAGGAAATGGTCACCAGTAGAGTGGCAGTCGTTTTAAGTGGCAAGTGGTTCACAGTTCAGGAAGAAGGAAGATAAGGAGAGTTAATAGAGAAGACGTGAAGGTAGGAAATCGATTCTCTGTTCTCCAGGACGAGTGTACTTCAGTGTTTAGTGAGGTTAAAGGTACCACTGATTTCCCTGCTAATCAAGGTAAGAATATTCTAATTGTAGGAGATTCTTAGGTAAGATTTATGGACCGTGCTTTTTGTAACAGAGATAGAAAGGTCAGACAGTGTGTGTGCCTCCCAGGAGCTGGTGTTGGTGACATAGTCAGCAGGTTGGATAATATTATATCAGGTAATGGGAACAAGCCCATTATCTGTCTTAGTGCTGGGGGTAATGACAATGGGAAGGGCAGGAGACAGGAGCTATTGGATAAGTAGAGGTCAGCCATAGAAGTAGTCAGGTCTAAGGGAGGGATCCCGGTCATATGTAGCATCTTGTCTAGAAAGGGAGTAGGCAATGAATGGATGTCTAGGGCAATTGGTATAAATTGCTGACTGGGCAGGTACTGCAAGGAAATTGCAATCCCATTCACTGATAACTGGGATAACTTCTATGGCAAACGTGATATGTATGCAAGGGATGGGGTTCATCTCTCTGGGGCTGGAGTGGTTGCATTAGCCAATTCGATTGAGGGAGGGTAACTGATGACTTGTCTAGGACTTAAAACTGATAGATTATAGAGGTATGGGTGTTTGTGGGAAACAATCAGGCTGCAGTATTAGGGTTGAAAACAGCAGATATTACTGGGATACCTCAGGGATATGTTCAAAAGACAATATTCAAAATAAAGTTGCTAGTAATGGCAAATCAACTGATCAACAAAGAGAGATAGTAGAGGGCAACGAGTGACTAGCTCCCTTAAGGTTTACTATAAAAATAGTAGGAGTCTAAGAAATAAGATAGATGAGCTAAGATTACTTGCAAGTGCAGGTAATACATGTATAGATATTATTGCTATAACAGAGATCTGGTTCAACCTGAAAGATAGAGAAATGTCTTCTGAATGCAACATACAAGGTTATAAACTATTCCACACTGATAGGGTTAACAGGAAGGGTGGTGG